TTCACCAGAGACAGAGTGGGGAGCAGAACAGGCAGATCCACGAAGTACACTGCTGAGGGGAGCAGCAGGCGGGCCAGGAGAGGTCTGCCGCGCCATGTGGTCACCTCCGGGGCAGGCGAGGATCGAACTCATGCGGAAGCGGCTTTAGCTTCTCAGTGCTGTGCTTTAACCCGCTGCGCCACCAGGGAGGGCCTCCACCTGCTTGTTTTTAAAGAGAAAATGGCTGGATTTTAAATTAGGGGGCTTTTGTGTGTAATTGTGCATATGAATTTACCCAATGGCCCATTCAAATGCCAACATCTCAACGAACCCAGCAATCTCCAAGACCCTCTTAGGCCCCAGAGCTGCACAGAAAGAGCCGCCAGGCAGTGCTGAGTGGGCAGGAGAGCGCAGTGAGTCTGGGCGCCTGGCTGCGGCCCACTCTCCCTTTATTCACGAACCCCGCACTTTTGAAGCCCATAAGAGCAGTCTGCTGCACCTGGGGCTCGGTGTGGCCCGCCTGGCTCTTCTGGAAGCTTCCATTCCCCGCGGCACAGAGGAAGGCTGGCAGCAGGGAGGTCTCTGGGAGGAGGCGCATGTTGCTAAGCCCTAAGGAGGCTGTGTCCCAGGGGAGACGGCAGAGCCCGGGAGAGGGGCATGGACTGGCTGGGGAACAGACGCCCCTTTTCCCGGAGCGTCAGGGTGCAAGGACAGGTTCAGGCTAAGAGGAGAAGGAGGCAGCTGTTGGTGGCTTTTGTCCGGGGCTCACCCAGCTCTCCTCAGTCAGCCAGGTGGTCTCCCAGAGCTCTTAGTGGTTGTGAACAAGTGGGGGGCAGACCTCTCAGCCAGAGGGGTGACGCGGCGGGGTGGCGAGCGGCTCCCCGTGATGCGCTCGCAGGCGCTGTCCCTGGCGGTGGACGGCGCCGGGTGCGCACGTCCGGCTGGCTGGGCTGCCCCTCCGCGGGGGGCTTTCTGCTGACGAGGTTCCTGTTTTCAGAATCCGGCAGGACGCCGCCGCCTCGCTCATCCTGCTGTGGAAGGTGACGGCCGCGGGCTTCCAGCAGTGCTCCCTCATCGACGGCCGGAGCGTGACCCTCCTGCAGGCCCCCGGGGGGCTGGTGCTCCTGGAGGAGATGCTGGTCTTGGGGCACAACCACTTCATCGGTGAGCCTGGGCCTTGAGCACCGGGTTTGGGGGGCCGCGGGTGGGCGCTCTGTCCGGGGGACTGGACGGAGCCGTCAGCAGAGCGCTGTGCCTGGTGAGGTTTTCTCAGGATCGGACCGGCTCCCCAGGAGCCGAGCACAGGCAGCGTGGGCCCGGCCCGAGGCTGCCCCCGCCCTGGGCAGGCGGCCCGAGCTGCGCTGTGGCACGGAATGTTCTGAATTTGGGTGGTGTTTGCTTCTGACTCTCGAGTCCACTTCTCCAGAGGAGCGAGGAAGCCACAGGCGCAGAATGTTGGCCTCCCGGACCCTGTGCGCACTCAGTACAGGCCTCCCCGGGCCCTGCCAGGCTCCTCAGCCAGAGATTCCGCAAGTTGGGCCTCCTTGGGGGCC